ACGAGAAATTGCCAAGATTCAGTTCAAGATTTTGGAAAATTCTGATCGATAATCAATAATCGAAGATAGCCATTTGATTGTCCATGGTATTGGCAGTCTAATGGCGTTTACGGCATGTCTGTATGTCTATTCTGTGATTTTATATCATTTTTTTAACATATGCCGTTTTTGGTCGAAAACTCTGAAATCATGACGTCACTAAAACTTCGATATCTCAAAAATTTTCCGACTGATTTTTTTGAAACTTTGTCACAATACACTTCAATCAATTCCCTACAGGTACCCAAAATTTGGCGCGCCTGCGGCGCGCCGTTTTTATGCTATGGCCCGGCGAAAAAAGTGGGGGCGTTTAACGCCCCCCAGCAACTCGTGGGTTAAACACTATTCTTTAGAATTGTGTTTTTCTATTGAAAAACAAATCTGAGTTCCCTGACAATTTGGCAAAAGTAATCTGCAGTTGATCTATGGATCATGCAAGTGATGTGACGATGGTGACGATACAACCACCGTACACATATTGAATCTCTGACAGCTGATCTCAGCTTATGTATTGGTGTCGTGTGCCTCACCGCCTGTCACCAGGCCACGCCACGCCACCAGCCACTGGTGAAGCAGCACTGCGGCTGGTCAGTGGTGAATGGTGACACATCGAACTCCGTACACCCGCAGCACTCGTCGTGTGCCGGTCAGCTTTACGCCCGCGTATCGATTACGGAAAGTGAGTCACAACTCGGCACTGGACAACATCAGTGGGTCGGGTGTCACGTGAGTCACCCACGGGTACGTATGTCACACCCCTCTCTCCAAACTCCTCCGCTCTTCCTCCAAGGAATGTTCAGTGTCCAGCGCGTCACCGCTATTCCGTCATTGTTATGGATTGTTGACATATGACCTGGGTTCGAACGGGCCAGCTGCTGGGCTAGCTCCTACGGGCCAGACACACCCAGCTCGACACTGAATGGGCGCTTTGTGCATGCCACCTCTGATCAATGTTGCTCAGCGCTGGGATATACAAAGGGAAGCCTCCTCACGCTCCTTTCAGAGCCGAGGTGCCTTCTTTTAGAGGTGGTGATGCAGTCACGAAATGCACAGTAGCTGCTATATCAGCTTAGCATTCCTGACGAACACAGTTATCAATTTTCCGACAGTCACTGACGACAGTCAGCTTTTGTTGTCGGTTAGTGCATTCCGACATCGAGTTTGTAACTGTTATCCCATCCATCACCATCTAGTTGACGTCTGTCTGGAATCCGAACAAATTAGAGCAACACATAATCGACACTGGCCCTTCTTTTCGCCGTTTATTCCTTATTGACCATCGTTGAGCCGCTACATGCACTGCTGGCGGTACCTAAAGTGTAGGCGAAAACGCACCCTGCCGGCCCCAGCCACCGCCGCCGCCGGGTACGGCCGCCGGGGTCACAGGCCGAAGGCCGGCAGAGGACCGCTATTTTGGGCCGCGATCCGACGGATTTAGACCGCCGCGGCGCGGTTTTGGCCCGGTGATCGCGATGGCCGGCCGAACGGGCTCGCTGGCCGCCGGTCAGGTGGGCTTCAGGAAGGCTAAAAAGATTAGCAATCGGGACTGCCAGTTTCAACATTGTCTGCTTCATTATTAGTTTCAGACATCAAAATACAGAAATTTATGCAGTTTTCGATCTTTCTTAACACCTTTTCCCGGATGAAACGTCGTGTTTTCACGTTTAGTTACTGCCTAAGGCCTTTTTAATGTTCCTGCACACTGCACAGTTCTCAAATGAAAATCCGTATTTAAGTATTTTCATGTGTATTTGATAAACACCAAAGTTCAAATACACCATGCCCTCTTTCCTGAAATCCTTAACAAAGACACAAATGGCACCAGCACGGTCATTCTGCAGGCTGCTTAAAAACCTGCTTTGGCGTTATTGTCTGAGCTGATCCTCTCGCTTCCACTGAATGACCGACTGCGTGCCGTGTGGGCTGACCTCGACCGTCAGCAGTCAGCAGTCAGCCGTCAGCAGTCAGCCGTCAGGCGTCATCAGTCCTGCTGACGCTCGTTGACGGCTCTCGGTGTCAGACGTCATTCGTCAGTAATCGATCACCTGCCGTCATCTGACGTTCGCAAACAAAACGACCCACCGTGCGAGTTCGTGAACAGGCGGTGTTCTCAGGGGATAACGAAACCCAGACAATTATGTGGTTTAATAAGGTAAATAGCACTCCTCCAAGACTTTTATTCGCAACAATGGAGGGGCATATTGCGATACTAGGCCCGGAGCAACTGCACACACAAGTGTGACCAGTGTGCACACTAAAGCATCTGGCCTGTAACCGTTGGAAGAAAAGACTACTGATATGTTAATTTTAAACACAAGGACGCCACTTGACACATATTTGGTCCCGGCGCAGCACAGCTGATAGCTGGGTGTGAACGTTTAGTTATCGAACTCAACACAAACGGTCGAGTGCAAAGACAGACCCTTGGGAGCCTGCGTGCGTGCATATGTCCCCTGCCAGCATTCTTTTCAGCGCGGGACGGTGCCGAACACAGTCTTTTCATTGTTGTGATTCATGCCAAAGTCATGTAATAGTGCCCTTCATAAATTCCGGGCGGGTGTACCCAATTTCGGGCCTGTCACGTCTCACAGAGCTCCGTTGAAAGCCACACGACTGCCACCACGCCACACTGCCACACACACTGCCACACGGGCTGCCACACGGCCCTGGACGTCCCGGGCATCCAGTTAGGTACGACATACCTACTCCAAGCCAATCTAGATCATGGCACAGGCATGAGAACTAGCTCAGACCAACTTATTGGTGACCTATGACCTAAACCATCAAAGTGCAAATGCGCCTCTCTAAAGCGCCATCCCAGTACTCTCAATGTCGGTCGATCCTTCATGGCCTCAACTGCAGGTATATCACTGCGCTAAAGCACGCAGTAAACCGGATCGCCTCGCCGAAACACGCCGTAAACTAAGTGAAGCCGAGCCAGTACCAACATCCGCGGTCAGGTTTCGCCATGCGCCGACACATCGCATGCGTGTTGGTTGGCAGCGCTGCCAGCGCAGTAGACGGTTGATAGCGCAGGACGCTTAAAACTAAGTCGGGAGGCCAGTTGCCAGCCAGTCGGCACGTCAGCACCTATCAGAGGGCTGGGAGATGAAAGGGTTCGGACGTCAGGCCTGATAGAGTACCCCACCGCGGCTGCCTAGTGACCGCGGGTCCCGGCAGGTTCAGGATCACTTAGGACAGCTCGCCGCTAAATAAACACCGTAGGTGGCAGGCTCAGGCAGGTCAGACATCACTGACATCGCCGGAAAGTCACCACTAAGCTACTGGTCGCGGCACCTGGCGACCACAGAGGATGGGGAAGGCGTGCTGGAAGTGCAGTTGTCCGCAGGAGCACCAATGACCGCCAAACTGTGGGAAGGGGAAACGGGTAAATACTTTGCGGCGGGGAGATATGTCTGCAGGTGTAAGATAAAGGCCGAAAATGATGACAAAGTGAAAAGATGCAACAGCATGGATGATAGATGTTATTCCTCTTCCATATGGCTGCGGGAAGGGCAATGTGCACGTGGGTGAAAGGTAAGGGACAAATGCCAAGGTACAGGAGCAAGATACGAAGGAAAAACGCGGGATTAGGTAAAGTTTTGACGGGACGAATGCAGCAGATGATGGGAGAAAGGAAGGATACGGAAAACTCAATCACCGTTCGGCCGTCTGATTGACCACGATGGCAGAGAACAGAAGGCAACGAGCCACCGCAGTAACTGCCGGCCTTCTACAATCCCTGCTTCAATCTACAGTGAAGAGAAAACGGCGACCGTCTGTTTCAACAGTACCGACCAGTGTCTTTGTCACAGACTTGTAACGTCAGCGAGGATCAGAGACACCGACAGGGTCACAATGAACGCTGATCCGCGATTGTGTCTCGAACGTCGGATCTGGTAACACCGTGGTACGGAGAGCATGGCAGGACGTCGTTTGGCCGGTTACTGCGGAACATAAAAGCCGGCCTAAAAGCGCCCGAGTGCAGATTGTCATTTATGGTCTTTGAGATAATGGGTGATTATAATCTAGAGGTTTTACAAGAGCTTTAACTGGAAGATCTGTCGCATGACACGGAGATTAGAAAGCCGAACAAGTGTTAAGTCTGTGTTACTACTGATTATCTTCGTATTTCGCACGTGCCATCATACTGGGTCACTTTATCTAGCTCCAACCGTCCGTTCGGAAATGCTTCAGCCTCGAGTTTGTTTTTATCTGATCAGACAGAATCCAGACGCTACCTACCTCTCATAAATCCTGCAACAATGCTACAAATCGCCTTTGCTCGCCTTGCAGCACCTGGGTGCACCATGAACAAAGACCACCAAATCCCTTGCATTGCATTCCCGACACAGGTCTTTGCCGGAACCATACGACTGAAGGCTGCTTTCAATGCGAATGATACGATTTCCCGTGCTATCGTTTTAATGCGCGGTTGTGCGATTCAGAGAGCCAAGGCGTGCGAGGAGTGTTCAGCTGAATGGGCTTGATCTTCTGAAATAGTGCGTGATTCCCCGGATATTGTCGATTGTGGTTCAGTAACAACGCTCTAACCTCCAGTGACTGAACATTTGCTTTATAACCATTGCGGTACTAATATGGCATCAGATATCATTTGATAATTTAATGCCATTATTTCCTCACAAAATATGTAGGACAACTTAACTTTAACCGCTTCTTAAGACAAAATAGGTCCACTTGGATAACTTAGCTGCCTTTATCCTAATTTGTACCATTTCGAACAGCACCACTTCCATGGAACCGAAAGGAATGGCAACCAAATCCACAACTAAAGAAAAGGAGGAGGCAGCAGAAGTCATTCAAATAAAACCCAATGTCCAGCGCAACAATTTTTTCCCGTGACCGAGAATCACCACAAATCTTAGCAAAACACACCAACGCATTGGTGTGGTTTGGTACTATTCATCAAGCCCCGTTGAGCACGTCTTTCTTCTACTTACCATTACGCACGAGCTGGACGGAGCCGCGGACTAGGGCGCAGTGTGTGGTCACTACCACCAGCAGAACACGGGACAGGCGCGCCATGGCTCGTGGTCGGGTCAATTCGGGGACCCTCGACCCACCGGCAGCGGGTCGCACCGATCTACTACTGTCGTACCGGCGGGCCTGGACCGTCGACCGACCGACCCGCCGCTGGCCCACCCTCTGGCGGCCAAATCGCTGACTAGACAACGACCCTGAACTTGAGCCGGTGGGCATGGGTTGACCGGGGGGGGGGCAGCAGTGCCCTCGGGAGGTTATTCCGAGCCCCTCCGGCCTTGGTCTCAGCTGACGAGAGCACAAAATAGGGCCGGCGTGGCATTCCTCCATGTCTGCCGTCGGCGCCGGCGAGAAACGCCGCCGATGACGCCTCCGATGACGACAGTGATGACGCCTGCCTTGGCCGTGAGGGCGGACAGATGTGGCGGCGTGATGACGAGAGAGCGGCAGCAGCTGAGGAAGACGTATGTCTCACAGTCCACTGGGCCCACAGAAACGACCTATCTACCATCCCTGCACTTCAAAGTTCTCTAATGTTCATTCTTGACATGCGGATGTCTACATAGATGTTGTCTAGTCTAGATGTTTGAGTAAAAAAAAATGTTTTGATGTTGGTGCTGCTAAAACAGGATTAAATATCTTAATTGTACAACAATAGAAGATGAAAAAGAATCCTCGTAGTAAAACACATCGGAATTAGCACATGTTCAAGTGAAGACACACGTAGTCAAGATACAAACCTATGGGATATGCTGAGATAAATGTGTGTGAATAAATGGCTACTGCGATCCATCGACAAGACAGCGGTAGATTAGAGCGTCTCCCATGATTAACGGATAGCGACTGAAGGAATGTGCCGGTGATAAATGGCCGAGGAATTCAGATTGCATCTCGAATACCTTTCAACGCGTTATCGGGTCATTAAAGGTACCGTTGTCGGGTGATCTAAAAATACGCAGCCGAAGTTGTCAGGTTTATTGTGAATGAGCCGATAAAAGTCCGTCACCGCATTAGCAAGGTGCGCATTCATTGGACCATACAGAGGTATACCGAGGTATACAGATACAGAGGTATACAGAGGTATACAGAGGTCTATGATTGGACTAATTCCAAAAAAAAGTTTCATTGGTGGTGGGAAAGTGGACGCTGAACAATATTTCCCGCCAACATTACGAACAAGTATTGCACTTACAGTCGTCCATTCACGTATGGGTACCTTCATGTTTATAAATAACTAGAGAGGAAACGAGGAGGAAGAGAATAGGGGAAAAGAAGGGGAAATGAGAAGTCGCATAGCCATCAAACCACTGGCGCCCGTGGTCGATGCGATGCCGTAGGAAAAGCGCGGCGTCGCTGGCGAGCAGCTTTATCACTCTCTGTTCAGAGCCTCTCCTGTCTCCACATCATCGGGCAGTTGTAGACGGTCAGGGCGCACAGCGGACCGGGTATTCACCAATCTGGCCCGTCAGCGGCCCGGCCGGCCCGCTATCGGTCCGGCCCGCCCCGGCCCGGCGCCGGCTGGGAGCGTTATCCTGCTCCGGCCATCAGCCCAGGGCCAGGTGACCTCATAGGAGCCCCGGGGCGCTGTTCACACCTACCCCAGCGCCCAGCACCCCGCGTGCAGGGCGCCGGGTGCCGCCGGCATCTGCCCAGTCTGTTCAGTGACGTCATATGACGGCCCCCGGGGGACCGGGCTGACCTCAGCCGGGCACAGTGGGCCAGTGACGTGATACGAGAGAACAGAGCCGTGAACTCAGCCGTGCCGACAGGCTGCTAGGGGTAATCAGCCGCCAACAGCTTCCATCAACTGCTGATTGTTCCGCCTCCATGCAGACCATTTCAACGAGTCGAATCAGAAATCACCACGTTCCGTCACGGATCCATGTGAACGGTTCAAAGCTGCCATCAAGACTGCTTCGCAGTAACGTAGGTAGTGAGAATCTAATGCTGACACCGATTGGCATTAAAACTCTATGCAGTACCTTATTGACAGTGATACGTTTATCGATTGTCCAAATTCATACATGAGGTGGAGCTGTCGACTGATGTGTGGCTAATGAGGAACTGGTGTGAAATATGGCCCCCGTCGCTGAAATGTAACGACATGCCATAAATCAGCGGTTCCAGGGTGTTGCCACGTGCGAGGAGGCATCCTTACGGTTTCTCCACATGCAACCCTGCTTCGAAGAATCAGGGTGCTTTCGTTCTGGAAGTTTTTGAGCTAAAGAACGTTTTACATAGGACAGCACGATTAGTGACCTGGTAAGGCAGGACCGTGTCGTGACGAAAAGAGGGAAAAGAGCAGAAAGAGAACGATGATAAACAAACTGTAGTGGTTAGCATGCATCGTAAGGTGTGAGGTCGGGGAATCTGCATAACCACCGCCGAAGGGACCGAACCACAGGCTGGATCGGCGGGCCCGTCTGACACCGGAGACGACCGCGGACCCTGACACGGTGTGACACGACACGACACGACACCGGATCCGCCCGAGGGAGATGTGATTTCGCACACGCACACGCAGAACGCCTACCGCCCGCCGCCCACCGCGCACCATCCACCGCCCACCACCCACCGACTACCGTCCACCGACCACCAACTGAGTGGAATCTATCGACCGAGACCTACAAATGATCAACGATTGAAGATGTGCATGAAAAAAGTTTTTTTCCAATATATTTATCGAGTAACTTTGCGCGCATTTCATGACTTATCGTCCAGAAGCTGTTTTGGTTGAAGAAAAAAACTACAGTCCTTCAGACCTTTCATGCATAATGATACCTGAGAAGGAATCATCTACATACAAAGAGCGGAAACCCATCCACTGAAGCCGAGCACACAAGCAGGCGCATTTTCACTGTGCAGCACTTTGTCCTGCACGAGTAGAAGCCGGCATTCTCGCTAACTACCAAGGGAATAAACATCCGTCTCCAAAAGTCCCGGTACGCGGTCAACTAAAACATCTACCGAGCTCATAATTCGACCTGCCCGACATTCTTCGACAAATCCTAGCCGGACCGAGCGGCGTCACCTGAGACAAGGATTTCCTCCCGGGGCGTACCCGCGTGCCGAGCGCCGGCGGATCCAGTGGCAGCGTCTGCAGTCCAGACGCCGAGGCGAGACCCGAGACAGGTCCACAACAATGCAGAGGTCGCGGTCTGAGAATCGTCGCATTCCAGCGGCTCCGATGTCGGAGTCGACAGAGGCGGCCCGGGCCGACGACTGGGGCTGATCGCAAATAAATATTTAGAACGGCGCTGGTGCAGGGCGCCGTCGCGGAGGAGCAGAGGCTGCTCGGTCATATGGTGAAGGCAAGGGGTGTGGTTCGTGAAAAGAAAACAGACGTCGGACATCCACAAAGACGCCGCCGCACGCCGCAGCGGGCGCAGCAACAGATCAACTTCAATCTCCATTTCCAATCGTGAGACCCCACAGATGCACTGGATTACATTCCTCAGAGCCAATTGAACTTGTTTCGAAGTTTACAGTGGCACACACTTCATCCACCCAACGGCTTTACGAGCGGAACCACCTTGCTTTCCTTCTAATAATCGGAGCTCAACAGAGCAGCAGACAAGGCCTCGGACAGCTCGTCCCGATTACCTTGTTCTAGTTACCTGTGCCTGCATCCGCAATCACGCTCTCATAAGTCATGCCGTTTCCCGAGTCGACTCTCTCTCTCTCTCTCTCTCTCTCTCTCTCTCTCTCTCTCTCTCTTCTCTCTCTCTCCGCCATTATTAGCCATCTGTGCAGTGTGCACCGCACAAGCAGGCGGTCATTTCGGCCGTGCAAGTGGCGCAGATTGACCTCTCCTGTGACCGGCGGAATTCAGGTCAGCGTGGGGGACGGCGGGACCCCCGAGGTCGGACGGGGGGAGGCGTCATCCCCGCCGAGGAGCCCCGCTGGGTCCCGCTGGTATCCAATCTGGCTGATACCGTCTCCACCGACGGTCATCCGTGGCGGTCTCCCGAGGAGCATCATTACAAGCATTACGCCGCTATCACGGCCCATTACGCCACCTTTGAAGTACCGGCTGCCACGGCCGTTTGATATGGCCGCGCTGATATCGGACCGTACTATTAGCGCTCCGAGAGGAGACTGCAAAAATGAGGGCCCATTTAATATCGAAAAATGACAATGATCAGGTTATTTCGGGGACCGTGGCAACCCACAGCGGCCACAGCCCACGGGTAAGGTTTGGTGATAAGTGGTAAAACAAGTAGGTACTGTATCTATGGATCAGGCAAAGTCTAAACTTTGCACCAAAAAAAAAAAAAAAAAAAAACAGAAATAAGTCATGGAATGAGCTCGATGATAAAACCAACCTTTGACAGAGACTGGCAATCCCCCAGTGAGTGAGAGGAGATGACATTTTAGCCCCGATGCACACATCCTCTATCAATTTAAAACAGGTAATGGAATGACCCATTCGACAATTATTAGCGGCTCGATCCAAATGATCCATGATAAGGAGGGAGTGTATCTTACGACAGCCAACCCGGTTGTTCGTTCATTCGTGCTCTCTCAAAAAGAAAAGTTTCACCGTGTCATCCTCGTCCTGCTGGACTTCTAACCAGAATCTGATCTTGATGAATGCCACCACACAAACGCTGTATCCTCCCCCGTCCCCGTGCATTGGCGATATGCATCACGGCTCCGAAGAATGGCCGGTGATTGGCACGCGACTCCTACCAATGAGCAGGTGAAGGGACTGACGTGAAAGGACTGATTCAGGAGCGATCCTATGTGTGCGTTGTTACATGAAGGGAGAGCGGAGTGAATGCTCGTTACGGTTACCCACGCACACCACTAGCACTGCGTTCTGCTTGGCGCATGAACGTATAAGGAAACCAATAGACTGACCATGCAGCATGTTCGACAGGGAATTCTCCAAATTTGTCCAAACCAACGGAAGCTGTTGCTCTGACCTCCAGCCAGCTTCCCTGCCTTCACAACTTCACACTCACTCGTGTGACCGACTGACCCACAACCCGCCCTCTGAGGCCTCCCGTTCAACCGGTCGTCGGTCAGTCCACTCAGGCCAG